GTACAACGTACGACGTACAACGTACGACGTACAACGTACGACGTACAGATTAACATAAACAATGCTCAAAACGGCCTAATTCGGGTTCTCTGACCTCAGAAACGTCCAGAAAACATGTTTCTGAAGTTTTCAAAATTTTGACCGATTACAATACTTTTCACCTTACACTATGTGTGCGGAAAAGTAAAAAGCAACAAAAGTAATTTGATGTAATATCATTTGTATGTTTAGCTTTTTCGAAATAAAAAATAAAACGTCTTTGAATCATGGCAAACATTTGCAACAAACTGATCATTTTGTGATAACGTTTTTTGGTAGTATTCAGTCTTTAATCTCTCACATTGTTTCTATTCCACTTAGTAGATTCTTTCGACTAAAGCTATAGTTTTCCACGTGCAAATTATCTAATATGGTACTCAGCTACTTTCAATGAAACTAACAAGATATTTGAACTTGAACATTATTTTTCTTTGACCAAGATACGTTATTGTTCCATTAGCGATTGTTAGTATTTCATTATTTAACCATTGGGGTGTATCATTTGAATTTCTCAGTGCACTAACAATTCTTTGCTTATGTGTGCGTCAATTCTCTAGCTCTTTCCAAAGTATTATTCTTTTTCTATTCACAAGTACATTTCCGCACCTTTCTTTGTGGTTATTTTCTGTGCGATTTTCATAAATCATTCCATTGTAAAAGTGACCTTCATATTGACGTATTGCCTACATTGTGATATTGGTTGGATAGCTTCTGTAGCATAATGGAGATTTCATAGAGAAATAAAGTAATAAAATAGAATTTCAATGAAAAAAACACAATAAAAAACCAACTTATATGTGCAAAAAAACATCCTTTTCAATAGAAACGTAAAATGATTTATATTTCATAACAAAGACCAAATGGGCTATATTGAAAGTATGACGGTAGCAAATGCACACTAAAAAAATATGTGAATGTCTTTTTCCGTGTAAGCTCATAGATAGGTCTTCTTCGCTATCTCATCGATAACACCACTTATCTTTAGCAAATTTTCTCGTGCATTTTATGTGTACATGTTATAATTTAAACAACTGCTTTTTAACCACAGTTGGTGAGATTCTAATTTCGTTCGAAGTATTGATGAAATCAGTGATCATATTTGCATTAACAAATCACCGGTTCTGCATTGAAAAGTTTTTTATAAAAACAACAAATCTGTGCTTTTTACATTTTAACACACACAAAAATAAGACAATTTTTTGAGCGTTTATTACATTTTCCGTCGTTGTTACTTCTTTTGAATGACATAGACACTGACGTTAACCATGTTAAGTACTTTCTCGTTGAGTTTTTTTCTATTCATGTTGTTTTGTTATGCGACAAATCCTTATTTGAAAGTGTTTTGGCGATCTAAATTTAGATAAACAAATATGCAGAAAAAATGTGTTGAATATCTCCAAATGTTTAGATATTATGGCCTAGAGCGTACATTCAAACATGTTTTCAATGTAAAAATGTATTCAAAATCCTTTCAATCCGCAAAATGTTGCGAACGAAATATTTCCATGGCATTCCAAAAGGTTTTTCATGCTATTGGGAATGTATGCATTGAAGTCATTATGAACTCGAAAATATTTATAACTCTTACATAACTTTTTGTTTAGTCTGTTTTCCTTTTATTTTTGTGCTTTGGATAAGAAACATAATGTTTCGTTGCAAAACGTGTAATGAACACATTTAATTTATTCATGACGTTCAACTAATTGATTCAACTGAATTCGATTTCATTAAGAACATTGTCATTCGCAACAAATAATGATGTAATATAAATGATAAAAGAACTGCAGCCTAGGGGGTAGACACAATAGAGAATGAATGAATACCAATGAATTGTCATAATACCTATCTTTTTTCAAATAATACAATTACTTACTTATTTAAAGATTACTTGTAAATGTGAATACCGTGATTACCAAATGTCAAATTGATATCGGTAATAAAGATTTCAAGTTTTTTCCATTTCGTTTTAACATTCACCATTTCGTAATTTATTTTAATTTTTTCTGTTTTCTTTCTGTTATTTTGATCAAAATTGTTTTCGCATTTATTAAACCAATTGAAATACTACAATTATAGCGTTGAAAAAGTTTTTTTTAATATTTGGAAGATAATATTCATATATGCACATTGTGAGACGTTGCTGAATGCATTGACATTTCGTCTAAAACTGAGAATACCAAGAATACCAAGAATACCTTCAATTTCGGTGAATATCTCAAGTAATATTCCATGTGTCTACCCCCTAGACTGCAGCCGGTAAACAATGCCTGACATTCTTGCCCGTTTTTTGACAAAGATCAATAAATGATTGTCTTATGCAAGATTTGACAATGCGGTAGCAAATAAATAAAGTGAATAAAGAATTGTAGGGTTGTGTCATTTTTCAAATCGTAATCGACTGATAAGATATTTCTTCGAAAGCCTCTTTACAATAATTCGATTTTAAATGTCAACACATATTTTTGTTCTAACCGAGTTATTTCTTCCACACTGATCTGATCACATAAATCTGGGCACATTAACATTCAAACCCCCGCCTTGCACTCTTTTTTTTATAAATATGCAGCTGAAATACTTCTTGGCACGTAAAAAATTTCGTGAAGCACTCAAGCCGTATGATGTGAAAGATGTCATGGAACAATATTCCTCTGGTCATGCGGACTTATTAAATCGTGTTAGGTAAATCGTACCGAATTGAAATGTGAATATTGCGATGAAATTCGATCGATTTGCTTGGTTTCAAAAATCATTTAAAGTAATAAAAAAAAAAACAGAGAAACGAAAACAAAATGTTAAACGTACCGAAGCAAATTCGTTCATCGCATTTGTCATTTCGTTCGGAAACCAAATGCACACTAAAGTCTATCTACCCCTTTCCCATTGCACCATACTAATACTAAACTTTCGCTACTATTTATGCACACATCAAATCCCATGTTTGGATTTGGTCAACTTGATGCTTTTGATTTGCGTAACAAAAACAGGAATTTACAGTTTAGGTGAGATTTTCTTCCTTATTACACTTCTTTTGATTTTTTTTTAATTTGATTTGAATCTTGCTCCACTAGTTTTATTGTTTGTTTATTCCCATCATACGTCCTCAAGGAAAAAATTTAAGGGGGGGTAATTGAAAAAAATCGAGAGGGGTAAGCAAAAAAGTGAAGTGTATTTTGCGAAAAGTGTACCTTTTTCGTTTTTTTTTTTTTTTTTTTGCTCCTCACTTTTTGGGCGAAAATCCCTAGCAAATTTAAAGAATTTTTTCTACGTTGAAAACAAAAGTGAGGAGCAAAAAAAAAAGGTCCTCACTTTTTTGGCGAAATTCCCTAGCAAATTTAAAGAATTCTTTGAAAATTTTGAAGGGGTAACACTTCGTCAGGGGGGGGGGTAATCGGACCCCTCCGACCCCTGCTGAGGACGTATGATTCCCATACTAATTTTACTGTTTCGTTTTAATATTGCTTTGATTGAAATGAACATTTACATCGTGTCAATATGCAAAAGTTTCTTCGCTTTTCTTTTACAACAAAACACATCAAATGAATTTTCCATTTTATCCCTCTTCATTTCCATTACAATTCTGATCAATATTCAAAGCTCTAGATAGATTTTGTATAGAAATACAATATGTTCAAGTGTCTTGATACAATACAATATGTTTGTGCCACCCCCTTATTGATCTCCATGGTTTTTTTTTTTTTTTTTTCAAACAACTGAATGCAATTGAAAGTGAATTTTTCGGTCTTTATCGTATAAATGCACTTTATATTTTGTCAATTGTTTGCATTGTTGTATTTATCTCATCGTGTATTTGACTTTGGATATCATTGATATCAGACCAAGTCACAAGTAGCCACTTTTATATATCGTACTTATCTACATGCAACGTATGATTCAAAATCATTTGTATTCTAGTTATATATGTATATTGATTTAAATGTATTTTGATTGTTATATGCTCTGTGACTTGTGTCCCGTTTATTTGGAAATTATTGACATTTTTTATGTTCACCTGCATCGTTGATCGATTCAGTGCAGCTGACGCTCCTGTTCCAAGTAGTAATTTAATCAAATCGAATCAATGAAAAAAAGAGTGGTTTATATACAAAATGTTGTCTTAATAAAATATTTTTCATCTACGTACCGCAATCAATACCGATTTGTTTTTCGAAAATATTTTGGAATGTAGCTGCGCATATGCGTATATTTTTTTTATTATATATATTCTCCATGTGTGTCGGTGTGTCGTAAATTTTTATTGTCATGAAAATATTGTCTGGAAAATGTGTTGTTTGAGTTTTTGCCAAAGTTGAATTCACTTCACATTCATTTTCATTCAAATTGGAATTCGTTATATTCAACGGATGACAGTTCAGCTGACAAAAAAAAAACATTTAGACGCGTCAAATGTACCTACATATTTCATCTGAATGTTTGACTAGATTTTTAAACATTCAAAAAGTATTCATAGAATTTGATAGGTATTTTTGTGGACTGTGTCATTATACTAGTCTACAAGAGTCTAAAAGAGTAAATTGTATACGGACACACAAAAAAAAGATTCAAATATGTTGATGTAACCGGAAAATGCTTAATTTTTTTGAAAACTAAAAATTTGAATTTGAAAGTTTCTCCCTTAAACAAACTAGTTCATAAAACTTTTTCTGCTGATTCAGTACATTTGCTTTGTGAGTGTGACCATAAAATTAATATTTCCAAGTTTAAGAAGTTTAATTGGATGAATGCATTTTCAATATTATTTGAAAGAACAGCATAGCTTGATATCATGTAATAAATCCATTTTTTTTTCCTTTTTTGCAGAAAAATTTTCTTCTAAATTCACTGAATCCTTCGTTGCATTTTCAAATCATTTCAAAGTATTCAATATGTGTAAGTGAATGTAAAAATGCAAATCAATACAATGTTTGACTTTTCTTTCACTTTTATTCGCATTTATGCTTGTAGTCAATGCCAAAAAAAAGATACCAGTCAAAATTCTTCAAGCTCGAAACTTACTTGAAATGCGGTCGAAAATCAACTTCTGTAATCAATAAAAATCAAATCAATTGGATTTTGCAGACAAAACATATGGTATTTATCCATGAAATTTTTGTTTTGTAAACTGTGTTCACCATCAGAACCATGAGCACAAACAACAATTTCGTTGGATAAAAGCAGTCACCGACATTTTTGAGTCTTCGGTTTCGTTTATAATGTTCCCAAAACGCACATACTTCTTAATTTAAGATATCGATTTGTAATTCAAAATTAATAAAACTTTGTGTCTCATTCAAATTCATCGTATGTTACTGAACCAAATCTAATAGGATGCAGAATTCCAGAAATGTTTTGCCTAAAATGAAATACGTAAACAAACTTTGAAAAGATTAAGGGCTGTTTCACATTTTTTTTTCTTGATCTTGAAATAAGAAGAATAAGAATGATCCAATTCTCATTCGCAGTGAAAAGAAATACTTCGTTTATTTAATTTGTAATTTAATATTATTTTGAAAAATTCTTCATTGCGACGAAACACATCAACGCATTTATTTAAGAAAAGAATATTTCATCAGAAATGCGCATTGAAACCTTTGAAAAAATAATGTTCGAAACAAATTCTAGTATTAATTTCACCAATAAAAAAAAGCAAAGAATGCTCGCTTTTGAAAATACATTAATACAAAAAAAAACTTAAATAAAAGTTTTGAAAGAGAGTACTCACAAACCAGTGAATACATTGTGCTAAGATATTAGCTTGTCATATGCAGTAGCTGCTATTCAGTAGGCGCTACGTTTCGGCTAAAAGCAGAGCTGCTCTTTGACTCTGTGAGTATGGTGTGTCACACAAATGTACACACAGCGTTGAAGAGCAGCTCTGCCGTTAGCCATAGAACAAACTAATATCTTACCACAATGTATTCACTGTAACAAACCTATGCCTTCTGGATGATGAAAATTGTCCGATCTTTTAATTAGGACTTTAATTATAGAATTACATAAACGAATAAACAGTTTTCAAATTTACCGAAAATTTCAAGTTATAAGATCACAAACGAAATTTTCGTATCGCAGATGGCCTACCCTGTTGGTTACAAATAAGGAAGTTTTTTCCCCTTTGCGCACGCCTTTAATAAAATCAATGTATAATCTTTTGTCAATTTGTTTTTTAGAAATGATTTATCGTGTTGTTGTACAAAATATAAAATACCCCGGACTCCAATCACTCTTTGTGTGTGTAGATATTTATGTGTACAAATCGATAAATGAGTACGAAAAGAACGTATGTTTTTCGCACATTATTTCGCTAAACTGAAAAGATGTAACTAATTGAAGACTTTTCAAATCGCTAAAATCAACCATCTCACTTTTCAAAAAGCGCTTTCCCAGAATATTAAATTTGAAGTCTGAAAAAACTTAATCGTTCTTTTCGTGCTCTTCGATTGAATTGTAAATGTGAGAACGGTATTCAAGCAAAAGAGCAAGTTAGTAAATTAGTAAAGACTTGTGCGTGTGTGGTTTCAATTTTTGTCACTAATCAATATAGTAACTTTGTCGAATGACGAACGAGGTGTTTCTTTTGTTACTTGAAAAACTTTTGCTTAAATCATTCATTGTCATATTTAATTACAGAAGAAGAGTTAATGTGCACCAATATCAAACTTTAATGTCGATTTTGTCTAATTTTTCCGCTTAGCAATTCTTTCGATCAATTTATAGGTGTAAAAATGCAAAAAAAAAGTTGTGTGTCAACGGCATGTAATTGAGCTATATTTGTCGTATTTTCCGAAACTATAAATGTATCATAAATCCACATCTATATATATTTGTGTTTTAGTTAATTTTCAAACTTTTTCCGTTTTCTCTTTTATTGATTTTATTTTTGAAGTTTTATTCTTCATTTGTTTATTATTTTTTTACATTTTCCGACGAACAAATTTGGATCGCATACATATACAGAAAACATTGAATAGATTTGTATGTGATCCTGATTCGTTCATTTCAAATATTTGAAACGAAACAAAAACTAATGGTGTTTCCTCTCTCTTTCTCTCTTCAATTTAAATAATTACTCTTAAAAACCCAATTAAATGAGTAGATTAGATCAAATTCTTGGAAAACAAGGATCTAAGGCGAAGGACGTGTACGCATCGAAAATCAGTTTAGCATCGCGTGTTGTCAAAGTTGAACGATCAGTAAGTATAAAAAGATGATTTTTTTTCTTTCTCTTCATTCGGTAGTATGGTGATACGTTTGAACTGTACATAGGTTGTCGATATTGAGGAGAAACTAGATATGCTATTGAAAACATATATGGCAGATCGTGATCGGCTTTTAGCTCTTCCATTAGTTCCTGAAAATAATTCACATTCCAGTAATTTTAAGAACAATCCACCAGCGCCGCCGCCACCGCCTGCTCCTGGTGTTGCAGGCATACTAACATCGTCCAATTCAGTGGTAAGTACAAATGCAGATAAAGAAAAAACAATAATCGGGATAAAATGCGAATGTGTGTGTATGTGTGTGTGTGTGTTGAGCTTTTTAAAATAAATCAATATTACTGTTTCGTAGCCGAAACCTATTCTAATAGAAAAACAATTCTCGGAACCGAATTCACCGATTTCGAAGACTTTCGAATCATCGATTGAACAAGAAATGCAACAACAATCGAATGCACAAGAATTATACGCAGCCGAACAACATTCACAACAATCACAGCATCATCATCAGCAGCACCAACTACACAAAAGACCACCAATGCAACGAGGTTATTCGGATCTAGGTAATCGCATTAAAAAACGAGTCACCTTGAGGTAAGCATCTTAAAGTTGTTCCAACATATTCTAGCTATTGTAAAATGTCTCTAATACCAACTCGGTTACCCACTGTTGATACCACATTTTATCTCTCTCTCTATATATATATATATTTGCAATCTTTCAATAGTTCGATTCCATCACAATACGTTGACAATAATTCCATTCCGCATGACGGTAGCGGTGACGTTGTGATTGTGGTGCCAGCCATCGATAGTGATGGTAAAGGGGATTCAATATTGGTTAGTCGCTTGCCGCACGAACATTCGGTTTGCATTGATCCCGAAGAAGCTGACATGATGGAGCCGAACAGTCCAAAGACAATAACCGAAAGCTCAAGTAAATATATCGAAACTCGTTTTTTTTCTTCTTTTTATCACTCTTTCTCTCTATCTCACGTGTTTTTTTAACAACTATAACCATGAATTCAAAATTTGTAATGAACGTATAAACTAACAATGGGCGCGATGTATAAACTAACAACATAATTCGCTGTACAATTTTCGCTTATGATTTTTGATAAAGAAACAATGAAAATATTTTCAGCGAGCTAACACCGCATCGTATCCTTCAATTAAATGTGTTTTAATCAATAAAATAACCAACACAAAATTAAAAACCTGCAAAAAAAAAAACCGAAAAAACAACAACAAAATTTAATGTATATTTTGTCTTTCTCTCTTTTTTCTTTCCCTTTTTGTTCATAATTCATTTGATACTGCAGCCGCGTCTTATGACGGTTATTCTTCATCGACATCGCTTTAGCATCAAAGTGACAATCAATCAATCCAACAAAATGATCGCGTGCTATGGAATGATAATCAAAACCTATTTGAAATAACTAACGATAGATATATATCGTCAATGATTTAAATATTTGCCATTTTTATCAGATCAAGAATGCTTTTTACAAAAAGTGATCCCACGTTCGTAACAATTATGATTAATATTAGTTTTGATTCCATCTCAAATTTCAATTTAAGTTTTCGTAAATCAATGAGCGCATTGGTGCCGTCATTAAAATGATAATTTTCATTCAAAATCATCCATGTAGATGGTGTGATAAATATGAATTGAAATGGGCACGATAGCGATCATCAAAAGTTGGATCGGGGTGATGTGTCAAACACGCACAGACTATTTGCGAGTGTAACAAATGCTTAACGAAGAGCACGCAACCACATTTAAATGTGCTAATTATGTAAAAGTCGAGAAAAAAAAATATTGATGGTGTAAAATATGGTGGCGCAACAAAAAGGCATAGATATTGATTTTTGCAATTTGTGATGTGAATAGAATAAAATTATGGACGATTGGTTGCTGTGAAGGAAACCAAAGGCATCCATTGATTTTCAAAATCGATTATGCTTACTACAAAGTGGTTTTTGTATTTTGTCGAGTCCCTAACTGAAGATCTGCACAAAAAAAACTTCATGACAAACAAACCAAAAAAAAAAAAAAAAACACACGAAACTGATAAGACAAATCGAAACAAGCAAAAACATGATAAATAAAAATCAATTGAGAAAATTTATCGATTTTACCAGTGAGTCAATGCACAAATTTTGCTATAATTTTTTTTAACTAAAGACAAACTATTGTTTTTGTGATTTGGGTGTATGTTTCTATAAAGTTATTTGGTAAACATTGTGTCGATTGTCTGTCAGTGTCACACATACTTTTATATTTACAAATAGTTTTTTTTTTGGGTTAGTTATGTTTCGTTTCGTGTCCTCTCTGTTCGGTGCTCAAGTGAAGAAACAAAAAGACTTATGGCGTTTTATTTTTCATTTGGCTCGAAACTTTGTATATATATCACGACACAGCCAGTCCATCACCAATGGAATGAAGTGGCCTCCATAATGCAATGCTGCAGCAATGGCCCCTATGGTCGCTAATTATTGTATTTACACAATAATTGTTTATGTAACATATTTCGGTGTGTAAATAAACCAGCTGAGACCCACTCGCTTCAATTAAACATAAAATGGTAACTTTTTGTTTCTCTTCTTGAGCCTGAAAAGATGAAAATCAAATAAAAGAAAGCATTTTTCCGTCTTTCCCCGTCATGTTCATTTGCTCAACATTTTATTTATTTATTTTTCATCCGTTGTGTTTTCAGTTTCTCATTTGCTGACCTTTTTTTACGTTGATTGTTCTCCATCCTCTAATTTAGGCTCACTGTGCGTGTGCGTGTGTGTGTTTGTTTCTTCGCCGTTGTTTGTTTTATGATTATTATTCAGTTTGAGATTTTGGTTGGGACTGTGTATGTGTGTATATTATACATACATGTGTCTTCTATTATTATTTTTATCAGCGCATGAAACACGAGTGTGAAAAATGTCTTTTATTATTTAGGAATGTAAAACAAGATATGCTTTTTTCCCTTACGCTGTTCATCTTTATCTGTTTGTTTGGCATCACCGAGAAAATGTTTATTGAATGAGAGAAACACCGAAAAAAGCACACATTTTCTCTTTGTATTCCCAATATTCAGCGGTGAAACACAACGGATTGATTATTTTATTTATAAATTTTTACTGGTTTGTGGCAGTCTTTCCTTTGTCTTTGTTAATGTCGACATCGTTGTTCGTATTCTGGCAAATCTCTCTTTGCCATATTCACCATACTTGGCATTCATCGGACACAAGTAACAATTCCCGATGTAATATGTGTTTTATTCATTGATAGCAACAACAACAACAATAAAAAATAATAATTTTATGTCTGAGGCAACTCGCATTGTTTCAAGTAAATACGCGCTGCACAATATGTATATACGTGTCTCAGTCCAATGCACCGATTGCGGATACGATTCAAGACAGTGCGGCTATCTACGTTTTTGCCACGGCTACTTCAATTATTTGATCAAAATGTTGGGAAGCTTCACGGAATCAACCATTTTATTTATTCACCGCTATTTACGTTGGCCTGTCAAAACATAATTTACCGTGCCATACCTTTTCAATTTTAAATTTCTGGCTTCTGGATATATATTTAGATAACAGTGTTACAACATTTTATGCAGCCGATGTGAATATTTTATTGTTGGCACCGTTTGGGTGTTTGCATTATTTGCATATTTGATTTTCATTTTTTTTTTTAATCAAATCTAAGTCCCTAAGTGAAACAGAGAGTTTGTTTAATTTTAATCGTGATTTTGTTCTAAATTAGAAATGAAATTTTAAATATTCAGTTTATATTTGATAGAGAAAAGAATACGTTTTGCACAGTCGCTTAAAGGTGCGATGGAAATGCATTCGTTTTTTCTTGTGTTAAGAAGATTTTTCACAAAAGAGTCATTTTTACTCGTCATTGATGGTTTTGACCAATTGGTGAGACTAACTCGAAACTTTCCCTGTTTCTTCTCCTACTCTAAGTTCTTCATCAAAATGTTCTATTTTCCATTCACATCAGTGTGAAATTGAAGGGCTTTCATATTAGCTTAAAAATGGACTAAGTTCAATATCTTTTATTATTTCATTCGATTAAACAAACTTTAATTTGGCAAAATGGATTTTCTTTAAAATACTTTTTTTTTTAATTCATTTTTTTTATGTTATGCTGGTTTGTTATGATGCATTAAGCATTTGCATGTACATCTCCCGACATGTGCTCCACTATCTCTGTCTCTCTATAACTCTCACACATAAAATAATTGTCAATAATTTATCTTTCCGGCACAATTACCCTGTTTGTATCACTCTATTTTCTTCCTTCTATTTCTCTCTCACTTTCTATCTCTAACTAATTTTAGCTCAATCGAGTTTTATGTTTTATTCAATAATTAATATATTTTAACTGTTCGTTTCTAATTTTTAAATATACGTGTGATCCTTGTCAGTGCACCATATCATCTCTCTAGTGTTCTCACAAATCATCTGTGTTTTTATCGAAAAAAAAGTCTGACGTTATAATTTTTGATCTGTTTACGGATGTGCATCGCCTTGTACCTTTTCAATTGGACCTAAGTTTTGTTTTGTTTCCCTTTGAATAAAAATTCCATATTTTTTTTCGTTTCGTTTGTTTTTTTTTTTTTCGCTAAATCGTGTTAAACATTGTGTAATGGGTTTTTGACGATAGAGCCTGTGTTGGATGCATTGTACCGCTGTATAAATGTCAAAATGATATTTATTTAAAACAATGAATGATACCAATTAAGAAGTCTTGATGTCTATTTTATTTTGAATTTGACCTAATATTGCATACTAAACTAATTCGTGACCATTTTCGATTGTTATGTATTTTGTAATTTTTTCTGTATTGTTTGTTTGTTTTTTCTTTTTTTCATCTGAATTTTCTTTTATTTTTTGATATTTTCGCTGCTATGGTCATTTTGAATCGACAGTTGTGATGGTGGACGAAGGCGAAGAGGAGGAAATTGAAGAAAATGATTTGGATTGTGAGGGTGAATTGGGTGATATGGATGTGGAAACGCCACCATGGAATTTTTACGGAGACGAAGATATTGACTGTGATGATGAAATTGATGATCAAGAAGACACAGCATTGCTACGTGCATCGGCTGCAACTCAGATTGTGATAACGCCTATGAGTCCGGTAAGTATTTGTCACACATTCAACGGAATTTTCGGATACGATTTTTTTTTTAATTATTTAAATCTATACCAGGTGAGCTCGAATGTAGATTTAGCCCGAATGAGCAGTGAAATTGCTGGTAATAGTGGTCGAAATACAATGAGCATAACAGATGCATCGACCCCAATGTTGACAAACATCCGAACCATGGACCTATTAAAACCGGAAGCATCGTCATCGACACGACTTTTGCAACCGGATACCATGTAAATTTTACCATCTTCAAATACAAACATACGATTTAATAATGTGCGATATGCTTCAAATATCGAACGAACGTTATAACCTGTGCGAGATTGTGACATTTTAATCGATTACCGGATAACAATCAACGAGATCAAATTTGTTTATTTAATTATGCAATAAACGAAAACAAACATGAAAACAAGAAAATCAACGGAAATAAAACGATCGAAAACGACAATTGAAATGCCTCGAAGCTGCACATACACATACACACAGCTCCATTGATTTTCGAAGTTTAAATGCAAGCTAATTTAAAATCAATTTTCTCTTAATGTCACGCCCATGTATCTTCGATTCGATAAAATTAAGAAATCAAAATGGAAAGAAAACATCTGATACTTTAAATGATTATGACATTAGTTTAACTAGATATGCAAACAAAAAAGGCGCATTGTTTAAATTAGAAAACGAATTATAGACTTTTATGTAAAAGAAAGAATATTTGTTAAATTTTAATGCTGACGTAATGAAGGTCAATTGTTAAAAATGGCATGGACCTTGACTATCCGATTTAAATCTAAATTTATTAAATCGAATGACGTTTTCTTTTCTGTTTTCTTGGATCAACTAGAGTGACAATGAAAATCGAAAATATCTTGTGAATCCGTACCTTCCTGTCAATTCGATTTGATATCATCTTTCAATCTATTTCTCAATTTTTAATTTTATATCCATACCAATTGCTTGTCTTTATTGTTACGCAAATAAAGAAATGATCTTATTGCTATATTAATATTGATATAGAGAAAAGTTTATTTAGGGGTTGAATTGATTCAGTGTACAAATTACTGTGGATTTGAGCGTAATTCAAGTGAAAAAAAAATAAAATAAAAAATAAATCTAAAATAAAATATTTATGGTTTCATACACATCATATATATATAGAATCGCTTATTGGGTCGACATGTAATAGGGTATATGTACCACGTAAGCAAATCGAAGTAGATAAAAGAGAGTAAAAGAAATCCCATCCTATTTAATTTTAACCAGAAACAAAGATGAACAAAAACAAAAACATAGTTACAATAAAAGCAGAGCTCATTTTTTGATGCAACTATACACGAAAAACTAGCTTTACAACAGACCTTCTGTCTTGGAATATAAGACTCTACTATGCTCGAATAAATCACACAGACACACAGATATATTTCAAAATGATTTTCCGACTTGTAAACCAAAAGCCACGCAACACCAACAGTCATATCAAGTGGAATGGCTGAGGGAGAGAGAGAGAGAAGAGAGAGACAAACTTTCAAACAGTTTCTTCGGCAATAGTGAGAATAAATAATGAACAGAAATGTGATATATATGCAAAACAAACTCCATTTCCGCAAATGTTGCGACAAAAAGAAACCAAATGGCTAACAATTTGCACACTATTTAGACACCAACGAACACAACAATCTCAGCAATATGGCAACATGTAAAAGTTCAGCAAATCAAATCCCAAAGAAAAATATTGAAGTAACTTTTATTCGGATCATAATTCATTGAAGATGAAGAGAAAAAAAACGAGATGAGCATGTTGTTTGTACTCAATTTGTTGTTACTTACGTTGAAGGAAATTGATTGTGTCATCTTCAACTTCGCATTCAATTCACTATAAGCAAAAGAATTGCATTTACATTTCGAAAAACTAATCATTTTAAAGTAAAAAGAAATTGTTAAATATGCAAACATAGTTCCGGTCAAAAAGAAATTCACTCATGTATACATTCAATTTTCGTCTGGGAAAGTTTCGGGAATACCAACTTTGCAAAATTTATAGACAAAAGGAAATAATATATATATTTAATGGTCAATTTTGATCAAAAATCATTAAACAAAAAGTTGAAAAGTTGTTAAATTTCTTTTTCTACAATATTAAGAATGGTACGATGGCGTTAAATTATCTTTTGTATTTCGATTGATCGAACTGCTAATCTTCCGTCGATAAAACACTTCCATACAAAATGGTAACCGGAAAACCATCCAAAAAAACCAAAAGTTTGAAAAACAAAATGCAAAACCGAACAATGATAAATTGGCCTGTGTTCCCAGTTTCATTTCGGTCTATAATTCAGTGAGAGCGATTATAATCAGAAACTTTTTGAATTTTATTCCAATTTATGGTGTTTTGTGAAAAAAAAAATCTTGTTAAGTGTGACCGAAGACATGTTTGATGAAATTGTTTGTACTTAAAAAGAATGAACCGAGTGTCATCTGTTCGATTTTATGTCTAAATGTGTAAGAATTTAATGCCAATTGGACTTTTTTTTAAATTCAAAATCTGAACCAAAACGACTTTAATGGGACTAAAATTCAGTGCTTCGGAAATTCAGCGGGCTTTCTCTTCCTTTTCGAAAAATGTTGTTTTTTTATACAAATACTACTTAAGATCTTTCTCTGCGCATCTGAGCATAAAATAAAACGTTTTTATTTTTCAATGATTGAACATGTTGAAGGAATAAATCAGGTTAAATATCAGGATGCAAGTAAAAGGGATCAAAATCATTTCAAAACACATTAATTTATTTTCACCAACATTCCACAACAAACAAATAAATGAAAAGAAAACCCAAAAAACGAATTGTTTTCGTGTCATCTTTGCTTAATATGTATTTTAATTTAAATAACATACATGAACAATGAAATGGAAAACGTGAACAACGCATTTGTTGTATATATTTCATCCCAATTAGAAATTAGAATGCAATTAGCTATAGTAGTCATAAACAAATAAAAATTCGAGTATAAATGTTATGAACGGAAAAAAAAATTAATACAAATAATAAATTGATTGCATCAGTTGGTTTTGCGGACCCATCAAAAACACATGTGTACAATTAGGGTGTTTCCCATATCTGTAAATAGAAAAATGGTATTTATTAATTCAAAGTAGGCAAAATTCTATGATAGTTAATGGCATTTATACAACGAAGCGATTGATGTTAGCACTTCCCGAAGCGAAAAACAATTGTCACATCTAAATGTATAAATGCAATCGAATAGTGAAAAATACACACAGATAAACAGTGCCTTGGTAGTACTTCTTCGAAATGCTGAGACACAACAGTCAGTCTCAGTTAGTGTAACAAAATTACAATATTAATTTTAAATTAATTTTCGAGTTAAAATGGTGATTGGTAATGCTTAGGCTGCTGATTATGTCTCTGCAATGTTACCGGGATATCCAGTCCAAACAGGTCACAATGTCCTATAAAAAATACAAATGTCATTTAACACAGACCTAACGCATCTATAATTTGCAAATGCCTTTGATGAGAATGCATTTGGCGGCCACGATATCACGATCCCAAGTTGTCTGATGCACAATCATTGGTTGGTGATCGTCATCGATTTCCGTCACACATTCATCATCGACTGCATACGGTTGTTGAGCGACCTCTCCATCGATTTCCGCTGCATTTTCATCATCGACTGCATGTGGTTGTTGATCAACATTAACGTCAGCATATTCCAATACACCACTCACTGCGTTTACTTGCCAGTTTTGGATACACGGCCACCTTAGACAGTAAACGATCAGCTATAATATCGAAATCATGCTCAGTCATTTCACCAGATTGCCTTCAATATAAACTTTGTTATCCGATGGCGAAGGTAATCAGTCCAAAGTGTACCAAGCGGTGATGGCATTCGGCCGATACTGATTCACCATTGCTGACATAGTATAGTGAAACTCTTTTTCTTCAATATTCGATTGATTTTGCCTTTCGCTGATAATCTGACGATGGAACAATAGACACTATCAATCGCTTCGTTATATGAATGCCATTAAATAATATAGAATTCTGTGTTCTTTGAATTCAAAAGTACCATTTTCTCATTTGATATCAGATATGAGAAACACATGTGTACATACATTTGTTGTATTTGCTGCAGCATTTTTTTGAAGAAAAAAAAACACTTTTTTGTTCAAATAAGATGATTCAAAAATTTTGCTTCTGCGGTAGTCCATTTTCGGTTTTCTTTTTTCCTTAAAAATATCTTGTTTAAGACCAAAATTTTACTCCAGTCTCAATATTTGTACAACAATACATTGTGCGATTCATTTTGTCATAAGCGTTTATGTTTTGTAATAAATTATGTATTATGGATATTTGCCGAAAATACATATAAATAAATATAGTATAGTTAAAATCTAAACAATGAAAAGAGAAAATCTTATAAATAACCATAAAAAAATGACTAAAAATCCAAAAAAAAAAAAAACAAAACATAATATAATTTTGATTTTAATTTTGTAAAATTTTGATTTGAGTTACGACCAAGTATATTGTGAAAAGACGATTTCATTGGAATCCACTACAAAATGGTATATGAGCTTTACATCAGTAAATTTAATTAAAACAAAAGAGAACGATCAAGAGATAAATCACGAATTAGACAAATGACCGTGATGAAAACATTGAACGAGAAAGTGTATATTTAAAACGAGTGGAAATGGCTTAAGTAAATTCTGCACAATTCATTAACAAACAAAAACACGCTATCGATTCAGCTTGTCAGCTAATATCTAAGGTACACCATCTAATGTATTTTATTGAGAGAGAGAGAGCCTCAACTCAATTATTAATAATCCATATGTAGGATGTTTTGTAATTAAACTCACCATATTCAGTATAAATTTAAAAAAAATGTCTTCGTTCTAACATTGTTTTCTCGTTGAACAATTTAAGCATATCATTTTTAAAAGCAGCAAAGCTGTTTTTGTTTTTCAAAGAAAAGGTTTCCAACAGTTGTGTTTATGTGAACAAAAAAAATTAAATAAAATTCATAAAAGTTTACTAATAATTTCAAAAAATCAACACGAACGAATTTGCATGTTTTTTTTTAAATGAGCAACACAATTGAATTACGCGTAATTTAAATAACGAAATTGTTCATGTTAATATTTATAGCATATATTTTTGTGTTAAAATAATTCGAACTATTCGATTATTTGATTTCCATTTAAATTCACATTGATTTTCAAACGCATTAAATATCAATTAATTGGATTGCTTTGAATTTTCAATAAAATATCAATTAATTGGATTGCTTTGAATTTTCAATAAGAAGGTAGTGGAAGAACGTGAACATATTGCGGATATTAACGATGATAATTGACCAACGAAATCGAATAGATTTGCATATGTTAGCTGTTAGATTTATAAATTTTTTATTTTAGTTCTTTATCGGACTTACTAAAATGCACCCATAATATAGTTGTGATTTGTTTTATTCGAACCAATGAAATAAACAAAATAATATAAACGAAACAGCAAAATGTGAATAGAATAGAGATTTAAAACAAAATACATTTGTCTCATTAAAGAAATTACAATTATCGCATCGAAAACAAATATTATATTTCTAATTTGTAATTTAAAAAGAGAAGAAAAGAAAAATACTTTTTTTTTTGTTTCAAATTTGTAACAATTGACAAATTGTAAATGGTTTTGGAAACAATGAATTAATACGGTAGATATTTAGGATAAGCGAGACTCAAATCGAATTTTAATTAAATGTTTTCGTGTGATTTTCACATTCCCGTACTAAAAGATCATTATTAATCGTTAGTACAGTCACACGAAAAGCATGAACTCCATATAAAAAGTGAAAAAGATAAATAAATTTATAAAATAAGATTTGATGGATTTGGCCATTGGTGTATATGTATTTCAATGAATTTTTATGTTTTGAAATACAAGCACATCCAATGCGCACAGCGAGATTGTGAATATTTAATTTTAACGTAGACTCATTTATTAGCAATACGGCAATTAAAACGAGCGCAAAATAAAACAAATAAATTACGATATTTTTCAATTATGATATCAATCAAATTTCTATATATATACGTATAAATTGATCGTTAAATTTGATGACAAATTAATTTATTTAATGCAGAAGAAGACACAGAAAAACTACAAGATTTTTTTTAGCGAAATGATCAAAATAAAAGAAAAATGCACATAAACTGCGCGCACTATTTTCCGTTGTGATAATTCTAATTGTAGATCATGACATAGAAATTGCTCAGAAAATTGCATCCATTTAACATATAACACCGTTACTTTTTAAAATTAAAATTATATTTAAAAATAAATCAAACAATATCCACACAAACTAAATTCAAATCGTTCACACACAGACATTGGGGGTTGATTGCACCAAATTCCACAGTTTCACAGCAGTAAAAATCGTAGCTTCAAATTTTAATCAGACATTAAATCTTCGATAAGTCTTTTTTTTCGCTAAGTATTTCTCCAATTCAGAATTATTTTTAGACATAACATTTCACATTTTAGAATTATAACTTTTAAATGGTATTTGGTGCAACAAATACTCCCCCCAACCCCTCAAAGTTATGTCAAAGAAAAGAATATTGATAACTTTCCAAGTTCTGTACATATTGATACAAAGATATACAAAGAGAAATAAAGAAATAGAAATGTTTAATAGTTTTTATCTGCTACAAACAATGATTTCTATCATTTTAGATAACTTCAGAGAGACACAATTTTCGATGCAGAAAATTGATTAAAATTAACATGTGGCTTCTGATTGCCAACTATAGAAATACGGTGGTCCGATTTGCATTCGGCAAATATTCCACATACCAACACCAATGAGACTCTAAGTTTGAGTAGTAAAACGATATGTACAATAGGGTGTTTTTCATATCTGCAAATGAAAAAATGGTAGTTCTCAATTTAAAGAGGGTCAAATTTCATGCCAATTGATAGCAATCACAAAACATAGAGATTGGCATTACGACTTCCCGAAGCAAACAAAAAACTATGGTAAAGTCAATGCCAATTGCCATGCGGTGAATAAATACTTACATGAAAACTCTTCCCGAATGTACTCTATCTATCCATGAACTATTATCGAAGGACTAAAATATTGGCATAGGAATTCAATACCTATTCTATGAACATCAAATAGAATAGATAGAGAACAACCTATACATATTCTTTCCTCTAAATTCTATCGATAGAACCTGGGTCACTAAATCGACCCAGCTACATATAATATCCTATTACATTAATTAGTTTTAAATTTTAAATTCATCGATCTTAATTCTATCTCGTTAGTGGATTCGAATCCATCTTGGATAGACGAGGCGTTCAACGGTGAAGTTACGATGCAGCTCAAATCCGAAAAGTCCACAATGGCCTTGACAACAAAGAGAAAACACACATAAATTTGTTAATTAAAACAAAATAGTATTATATGCTTCAATTTCAATCACTTTCTCATTCGGAATCCAATTTTAATTCAATGAATAAATTACCTTTGTATATTATCAGCTTTGCAGCTGCAATGTCCCGGTGCCAAATAGTGTTCAGGATGGCTTCCTCTTCGGCGACATAGAAGTCATCATCAAGAAGCATGTTATCCTCTGTAAAATCGATGACATTTTCGTCGCGAATAATGCCTGGTAGCTGAGCAACGTTGTTAACCGCATCGTATGCCGCGTTTTGTCGCCAGTTTTTTCGGTAACAAATGACCTTTGACACAAAACCAACAGCTTGATTTGAATACGCAACCATTGCATCGCGCAATTCTTGTCGTTCCGATAGCAGCATTCGTTTGCTCTTCATCGTCACGATTTTTTCGGGTAGTTTCAATCCTTCTGGCCAGTCGTTGTTATCTGGCACACACCATTCGCACACTTTGAAACGATGACCCAATGTTTCCAAAGGAAATGGCTCGAAGCAGCGTGCACACAGTCGAGACGTTCGGAACTCGTTCACCATTTTCACCACGTTGCCCAGCATTTTCTTAAAACTTTTAATCAGCTTCCGGTTACCAGGGCAGCGAATGTTCTTTTTAATCTTTATCGGCGAGTTGGGTGAGATATTCGCCGCTCCCAAGAAAATTATGCAAGGCTTACCATTTGTCTATTTGGACACAAGAATATATTTTTCTTATTAACAAATCAAATATATTCAACAAATGATCTATGTTTTGTTCTTACCAGCATGGCAGCAATCTTGTCACATACTCGATTCGATTCGATATATTTATCAAATCGTAGACGGGTGTATCTTTCGCTCGTATACACGTCAATGGCTTTCTTCATAATCCTCAAGCGATGACTTATATAGTCTCTCCAATTTTCTCCTTTTGGACTCGGCATTTGCGGATAACGGGTTCTGTCATTTCGATCGTTTTGTTCAAAGGCGACAAACCCACGTGTCCACCGCTTCGCTTTTCGGTTTCGTACTCCTTGCTTCGTCAGGTGATGATATTTCTTACTGCTGGTCTTGAAATTCATCTGTGTGTGTGTGTGTGTGTGTGTGTGTGTGTGTGTGTGTGAGAGAGAGAGAGAAAAAATGAATGGAATAAATCACACGATGAAATGAAATGCATACTGAGAAATCACAAACACATACCTCTTTGCCGGAGTCGATATGCCGTCTAACGGTCGCGTTCCACGTTTTCATGCCCGGATCGATTCCCAATTCGTAGATGTAAACGCCATCTTCGTAACGCTTTTTTATGAGTTCATCGCTCACCAACTGTTCCAATGTATTTCGCGATACGTCGTATAAAATCGATGCTGACACACCATCGGTTACAACATGATAATGAAATTCTTTGTTCGCGTTCAATATTCCATTGATTTTGTTCATGTCGAAAATCTCATTGAAATAATGAACCTTGTTTTGACATGTGTAACATCAACTTGGCGTCCATACTCATCTAACGGGATGATTTTGGTTTCACACATCATTCGATACAATATATCGGCATCAATTTTAATATTCTTTTGCAAATGTGTGCAAATTGGTAATACTGAAAGATTTTTGATTATGGGAAGCTCAATGTCAGCCGGAATATTTTCGAGGTTGTTTTGTACCCAATTGTGATAATCATCGATCTTTTTTTGCATGTGAAACCACATTGGCAACGTCGCGAACCAATTCTCTTTTGTATCTTTTGCGATGTTGTCGTCTTTTGGTCCGCCAATATTTCGCACACAAGTGAGCAACCGATTCCGTTTGTCCAATCTAATCGCATCACCTCTGGTTGAATCGTATCTTTCAATGGCCCACTTCACTGCATTGTTGACATCATGTTCATCAAATACGTCGTTTGGATCCAGATTGTCGACGTTGTGTTCCCACACCAACAATCTCAGGTACTCACGAAGTCGTTTGTCATCGTGTGTGGTGAGGTTGGTTATGGCATTTCGTGCATGTTGTTGGAATAAATATCTCATAAGATTCCCAAAATAATCATTATTGGGCCATGCGAACCGATTGTCTCCGTCCAATGCCTCGACTATGTCTCGAAATTCGGGCACCATGTCTTTGTCTTCTTTATATTTGCGCAACACAGCAAAAAAGCATCCTTCAATTATTGTTCGAGTTCAAGTTGATCGTTCAGCCATTGTGGCGGATACCTTTATGGCTAATATTCTATCTTCGTTTTCTAGAAGTTTGACCACTTTACGTCTTTTCGGTCTCGATCCTTTTTCGTCCGCCCATTGTCAATACCGAATTCTAAAAATAGAATTTTAATGCAATTGCAATAAAAAATAAATTTTTCGATACGACATAATAAAATACTACTGAACACAATGACTTTCTATTGTTTTTTTTTTGTTCTTTGAGAGCACAATAAAATAAATTTCCAACTCACTTTAACTCAATTCCGAGTGCAGCAATCAGTTCAATTCAA